TTTATGGGATAACCAAAGGGATTAAATTAACCCTCAAGGTTGAGGGAAGGGTGCTTGTAAACCTAACAAAGGTGTCTCTAAAAAAAAAAAAAAGAAACAAACCTACCAAACCCTCACATACTTTTCTATATAAGCTGATTAATAGGTTTTAATGAAGAAGATATAAGAATAAGGGGATAAGGAAGGTGTGGATAATGGCTTTGCTTAGTGAAAGACTCAAAGATTGAATTTGAAAGAATATTATTGGTGTCTCCATTGCCATTTTTGATACAACAGAAAAATGAGTCATTTGTAGATTGTGAAAACCTTCATAGTATGATTGTCCTAATTTCAGAATGTTTCATGATAAATGTAAATATTTACTAAATTATACCATATTTTAATAAGTTGAAATTAATCATGTAGTTTCTACTTCAGAGTAATTGTCTCAGGATGTCTAGAGATTTAGCTTTAATACAATAACTCTTTGAGCATAATCTGTGTAATCAAGAGACCATTCTTAATTTTTCTTCAGTTTTTAAAAATCTGTATGGACCTAGTGTAATGCAGTTTCTGGCAAAATCTTGAAAGGCCCTGTACAAGTGGACCTCTAGCAAATAACTTTGGAAAGGTGTTACTTCTTGTGAATCAGAAGGTATTGATAGTGTCTAGGATTATCTCCAGGTGAAAGATTTGGACAGGATGTTGTCCTATCTAAAATACAGCCTCACAGAGGTCAACCTCATATATTTTGAAGGAAAGAGATAACTGAGTTGGTGGTTGATGAAACTGATTCAAAGAACTTTCAGGGCACAAAATAAATACAAAGCTGTTTGTATCTTCTAAAGCTGTTTAATAAAAGAAGTTTGGAAAGTTTCAGTTGGAGGAGGTTTGAGTTGGCACAATTTTTATAGAATACTGTACTGTTGACAACATTGTTGTTGAGTCTTCAACTCTAGAAACAATGTGCTTTTCTTTCACTTTGTTGTAAATATCATGCCAATTTTGAAACATTAATAAAAGTAGGTTTACTATTCAGCCTTTGATTTCCAGTAAAGGGCACATAATAGCAGTGTAATTTTTGCAAACTTTTTTGCTTAAAGTTGTAGATAAACCTTGCTATAAACTACTCAGTAGATTTGCTAGACAAGCTTGTGATGGAGTGCTATGTATGCTTGCCTTTTTGCTTCCACCTAGAATCCAGGGCCATTACTTTCTGTAACCATTTCAGTGAGCTGCCATAGTTTTCAGTCTGTATTGTCACCTGATCCAAGCATGCGCCAAAATACCCACCGTTTCTGGCTACTGTCTGCTGAATCTGCTTTGCAAACCCTTAGTTCTTAAGCTTTTGCCTTAGCAAAAAACAACAACAGACACTCTTATGGAGTGTACTGGACACATGCCATCCTGCTTCCCTAACTCCTCTAATTGTTTATGTAAATCCTTAGCTTTACTAAACTTGTAAATGCTACAATGGCATCCCCATGTGAAATTGTGTGGCTCATGTGTCAAAAAAGGCTGCTTGTGAAAATATTTGTCAGAAGAATATGAATGCTACACATTGCACTGCATTCAGTGTTTTGTATCAATTTATTATTGCAATGTCATGGTGTTTGGTTTTAATTGTAGACAATCATTTTGTGTTTTAATATGCAAAGGTAAGTTCATGTTAACTATGAATGTACAGTATTTATATATCAACATACTGATTCATATTTTTGGCCTCTTTTCTGGAAGAAAAAAATACTGAATGAAATGTCTTAAGCAGAGGACCCAGTCTTCTTTATGAACACTTGTTTATGCATGACTTGTATAGAAATTTTTGAACTTGTGCAATGAGAATTTGTTGGATTTATTGAAAGATATTGGGCCTGATCCTGTTAATGCTGAAGTCAATGGCTGGACAATGGTTCTTACCTGTAATAAGAATGAAAATCATCCATTATATTACTGTAGTTAATAGTTTTTTTAATTCTGAAGTTGAGCAGATTCTCAGAGTAAAGGATTAAATGTTGCTTTAGCAAGACATAGTGTTGAGCAACCTCACAACAACATGTGCTTTCCGTTATGATAAGGTGTTCCTTTAGATCAGTTAGGTGAGAAAAAACTCTTTTAGGAACTTTGTTCCTTTTAGGAACTTTGTTCCTAAACTTTAATTTAAACTATAAATTTTTATGAAGGAAAGTTAAATGTCTGCATAGAGTTTGGGACCCGTCACTACTATCTCTACCTTTTTTGTTCCTCTTAAGCATATCTGTTCCCTTTCAACGTTTCATTCTCTTTCAGTTTTTACTGTGCCTGCATACCTTTTCAGTGTTATGTTCTTGTTTGTAACCTTACTCTTTATTCCACAGCACTTCCCCTGTTCATCCCCGATCGCTTCACCTGTTGCTCACTTTCAACTCCTTCATCATGAATTCACATTTTCTTACACCTTTTGTCATAGAAAGGTCATTGGCGACAAGTAGGAGCAGTTTTTGCCAAATGATACCTAAAGGTGTGAAGAGAGAAGTGATGATTTAGTAAAATTGGCTTTTTCATCTTTGTTTGTGTCTGGAAAAGTTTACTTCTTTGCAAGTGTCTTTCTGCGAAGTATAAAAATTAGTGTGGCTCTTCAGTCAGTGTTTATAGCCAGCTGCCTGAGATCAAGTCTAATTGAGCAAGAACTGTTCTGTATAGTCAGTGAACCACTTTTCCTACTACTCTACACTTTTCTGTTAGAGAGAGAAACACATATTGATAGGCAATCTTCCCGTCTGTGATTGGATGGAGAAGGAGGAATTGCTCCCAAGATCCATGTCCATTCCATCATAAAGAGTTAATGGTAACATTTACAGAATGTGCTTGTGGTATCTCATCTCCCATACAGCTCTCCATTTTGTCAGATCTTGTAACCTTCGCCTTAAAATGGATCTCCAAAGTTGCTCCATTCACCTGCCACCACTGCCATTAACCTGGTGGCAGCAATCACAGCTTCTGTTCAGAGAGAGATGCATACGCAAAGGAGAAGACATTTTTGCCTCCCATTTTCCTTTGTGTAGCACAAATGGTTCTCATAGAGTTGGAGTTCCTAAGCTCAGCTATGATGTGATGGGTTATTTCTGCATGATTCTCAGCTTTTGAAAGCTGAAAAGTGAGAGACCTTGATAGAAGGTACTCCAACTGTCTGGGTCAGAATTACTGTATATCGTCTTGAGCATTTGATTTTCCCAGTCAAAGTGTTTAAACAGTGTTTTTGTGTTGAGAAACAGCGAAATGCAGTGCCTTGAGATTCTACTAGTAATGCATTGAAACCTGCTGAAGGTGAACTTGGATATAATGGAGCATGATGGATACAGTTCGTGAAAATCCATAGTCTGTTTTGTATGTGTATGTTTTTGTCTTGATTGCGGAGAACCTTCCAAAGAACTACCACTTTAGGGTTGGGGTTTTTTTTTCTGTTCAGTGATCATTTCTTAAAGCAAAGGTTGGATAAACTTCAATCTGCACATCCAAGGCTGCTGCTAGTTAGTACAATTCAATGAGTTACACAAGCATTAACTTCTGAAGTTAGGCAGAGTTGAATATGCATACCTGTGTGCTCCTTTTTTTTTTAATTAGAAAGTGATCATTAGTGTGTTTTAGAAAGCTGAAAGCCTAGTTTTAAATAAAAAGTTGAGGTCAATTCTTGAATGAATACATCTTGCCGTACAATATTTTTGTTTCAGTAAATTTCAAAACATGTGTATATCTGCATCTTTCACTTTTGTTTGTCATGTGGTCAGAGAACCTAGTGTATGATACAGGGTTATCATACACTATATTTGTAAATATTCCTGATAGAACAAAATTGGTTCCAAATGAGTGTCAGGTTTTGACATTGATATTTTAAATTATGATTCAGCAGGGAGATCTTAAGGGCTAGAAGTTTGTATCTGTGCAAAGTTCAGTTGATTTCAGGGAAATTGTGTAAGAATCTATCTACTCAGAACCCTTTGTAGCATCTGAGTGCCTATTGTTACTGTTTCCCCCTTATTTTATGTATAAACAATTAACATAATTTTCCACTAAGTTCATTTGTACAGGTAAACCATTTTGAAAGAAGAAACAGTGACAAACTAATTGTAAATGACAATACTCGTTGACTTCATATGTAAAAAACCTTGTGAGACAAGCTCTAGTTCTGGGAAAATAATTACTGAACAGTTAAAGGGATTGCACAAACTTATTCTAGTAGTGCTCTTTTTTGCCTTTTTAATGTAGTATTCAGGAAAGTCAGGTAGGATACATTTTAACATACAATCTCAAAGGCAATAAAGATAATTAGATAAAGAATAAAAAAAAAAAGGTACAATTGCCAGGATACTGAACTAAGAAAGCATCGACAAAATATGTAGTCAATATACATCTTGTACTTCTTAATGCTAATGTAGAAGTAGTTTCAAATATCTATGGCTTCTCAAAGTTAGAATTGCTGAAATAAGGATGACAGAGCTATGTGTTTGATTAGTGATAGTCTTGAACAAATACTTTTGAAATCTGATTAACAAAGAGAACTGCTTGCAGTAGGAAAATGTATTCAGATTATTTCAAAGATGTCAGAAGTATACCAAAGTAAAATATTACTTTATTACTACAAATACTGTTTCATTACTACCAGTAGTAGTTTTTCAATATTACAGACTATCTGTGATGTTTTGTTGCAAGTTACATGCTGCTCTCATGTTGTTGGAAACTGACAGTATGGTCTTCAAGTGGGTAGAGATTGGAACAGTATCTACAGTATTTTGGTGTTATCTGTCATATGGACAACAACAAGAATGCAGTAATTTGTCAGAACCTGTTTCTGTGGGTGATAAACAAGAAAATTTACTGAAACCACCCTGTTAGTGTTTGCTTGAAGTGCAATAGCTAGGAAATAAAAAATGTCCAAATACAACAAAACACTTGAATATGAAAAATTCAACTTTTCAGATTAATTGCATGAAGCTTTATGTTGATATAGTGCAGAATAGTGAACTCATTTATACTTTGTCTTTCAGATGAACCAGAGACACGAGATGCATGGTGGGCAGAAATCAGACAAGAAATAAAATCCCATGCCAAGGCATTGGGTTGTCATGCTGTAGTGGGCTACAGTGAATCAACTAGCATTTGGTAAATCATGATGATAATTTGATTTTCAAAACGCCACAGAAAAATTATTTCAGCTTCACTGAATTAATGACCTGTTTCAACACAGTTGTTGGTACTGTCTAGTGTACCTACTTGGGAGAGTTTGTTAAAGTAACTTTCTGAGATTTCAGTATTGTCTTTTTTTTTTTCTTAAATATGTTTAAGTTTGGGTTTTTATTATGTTTTATGGGGTTTGTTTCTAATCAACATTACAATTTTTTTTAAATTTTCAAACCTACATGTTTGCTTTTGTAGTAACAATGTTAATTTGTCAATGAAGTTTTCTAAACCTAATCTACCTAAATACTTAAGACTGTTCCTAAAAGTGTATGTGTTGCAGTTTCATTACTGGGTAACACCTGGCAGACCAGTACTTAAATGGTTAACTTCAAACTTGAGGCGCAAATTCTTTACTAGGAATGTATTAATTGTAAGTTAAAAGAGAATATGCCCGATAGATCTAGAATACTTTAGGTGTAAATGTTCTGTATTTCTTTCTGGAAAATGAATGTCATTATATTGCAGTACTACAGTACTGTTTAACATACTAAACTGCAGCTCTGCAGTAGTCTTTCTAGGGTTGAATTCCCCAGCCCTGCATCCTATTCAGGCCAAAACCCCAGTGTCTTACAGTGTATACCTTTTGGCTAAGTAAATTCCAATCTTGTGTATTTTGGTGACTAAATAACAAACTTTGTGAGAGACTTGGAGATTGGGAGAAATAATTTGGGATTCTTCTAATTACTCATTCTTCTGTCTGGCCCAGGAAAGGTTGTGTCTCTTTCTAGCTCTGGAAAGTAATCTATGAAGAGCTCCTCCTGGGGCCAGGTGTGTCTGATTGGTATCAAGCTCTGCCTCGCTAGTTTTTTTAATTGCTTTAGGAAAGTAACTGAAGCAAACTCAGACATCTGAATTTCTTTTCTATCAAGTTGATTTTGCCTAAATACTTCAAAGAAAAAGCACTAAGAATTTGCTTTTTTAAAGAGAGAAGTTGGTAAAAGAAGTTTCATTTTCCTTTGCAATTGATAAGTTGAAGAAAGAAAGAGAGTTATACAGTGCTTTCATGAGTGCACACTGTCTGTTGGTGAAGTGGTAAGATAATCAGAAATAATCAGTCTGAAAGCCACAGCATCGATTGCTTCACATTTATTGCTTCTTCACATTTATTGCTTCACTGCAGGTAAAAACCAAACAAAACCACCAAATACGCAGATCTTTCACAAAACTCAAAAATGTTTTTTGGAAGTCAATTGCTTGTGCTAATAGAGTAGGAAAAACAGGAGAACTTACTTTACTGGCAAGGCATGGTTTGTATTCCGTAGGCTGTCTTGTCTGGTTGTGTCCTGTCTTGCTTGGTGTATTTAACTCAGAATTGCAGTGTGCAAGTTTACATTGCTGAGGGATAAACTTGCACTAAAATTAGAAGATCTGTTCCTTTGGCTGTCAGTCTCCTGGTAAAAAGCATGAATATTTTGTGACTTCCCCCTCGCCCATCTTAACTATGGGGAAGGAATATGCAGAGTATAGATAGTCAGTTATTGGGTTATTTCACACTTTCATTTTTCTTAAGGAATTTAACATGGTAGTATTTGATCATTGATAAAATAGTTTTAGAGTTCCCATGCTTACTTGCCAGTTCAGCTTTATTCCACGCTTAGAAGAGCAAGGCTCTGTCTGTAAGTACTGGTCTGCCAGACATGTTATATATGAAAAATTATTCTGGAAAGAGAAACAATAGATTAAAAAGGCACATGTATCTTTCTAGAAAATGTGGGATAGCTTTCCTCTGTATTCTTTCTAATACAGTACTTTAAGTACTGAATGTTAGAGATTTGTTTTTTATTTAACAATTTCAGAAATACTAAAAGCTCTGTGATCATGCTTTGCACTTCTGAGAGCTTTAACTGTACTAAATCAGATATATGGTCAGTTACTTTACATGTTATATGTACCATTATTGTAGTTGTTCCTAGTTAAATTTTGATGTTTTGCTACTTCTTATCCTCCAAGAAGCACCCTTGTCAATGTTGTGTTGTAACTTCATTTTGAGAGTGAATGTTGTAAGATGATGAAGCTCTCAACTTCCATTTTACTGTGGTAAACAGTTATGCCTTGGGTTTTTTTTTAATGGTGGGGGTTTTTTTGCTTTTATTGGTTGCTGGATTTCTTTGCATTATTAACCATAGTATTGAAACCTATACTTAAACCTGGTTAGCCTTTATGATGTTATAGCATATTATTTATAACATAGGGCAAAGCTCTTTAGTCTTGCTGTTCAGTCTTTCTGCAACTCTTAATTATGCAATGGTTTAAATACTGGAAGAGAACTTTTTGTGATACTTAATGGCTAAAATTGCACAAATACACCAAATTAGTAGTTACATTGAATTCATTGAGACTTTTGTACCAGCCTTTCAATCTAGTAGTTTTAAATAAAAGTAGCACTAAGTAGTAGGAATTCACTTTGTTGTCATTCTTTTCTCTTATAGTGAAGAGGTCTGTATTTTGTCCGCGTCTGGCACAGCAGCTGTACTGAACCCTAGGTTTCTTCAGGATGGCACCATGGAAGGCTGTTTGGAACAAAGGTTGTCATGGCAGCCTGGCTTCTTTTCCATAGGGTCAGAGAAGGGAGAGGTTGATTTTTTTCCTCAGAGCCAAGATAGTTCTTCTCTATTAGGGTAGGTTACAGTGTTACAGTGCAGGATGCGGGACCAACCACTTTACTGCTTTTCACTAACATCAACAACAACAGAAGTAATGGAACTCTGCACCAAATTAGATATTCTGTTTTTATTTCTAACAGTCTGAATAAGGTAACACGTTTGACTACTAACCACAGATCATAACTCAGTTTTTTTCTTTGCTGCTCTTCAGGTATCTTTCTCAACTTTATATCACACTATAAAAAAAAATGACAGATGTACGATAAATTGCATAAGCCAAATGCTGCTATGGCTGTAATATGTGTATATATGCTCTCTATATACTATTTAAGAGCTGTATGGGAGATAAAATAGCTTGGTTGTAAAACAAAGATGGTGCCAGATTCTTGCAAAAGATGTATGTTTTAGTTGAAGTTTATGAACAAAATCGTGAAACTGAAGGAAAAAAAATGACGTTTCCCTTTGTTTCTGCTCTTGCAAATAAAATTTGAAGAATGGGTATTGACAAACAGGGTTTTTTTAAAAAATAATTAATGCATATTGGTAATTTATTATGTGTTCATCAGGATAGTCATCAAATATTTCAAGGGTTTATTGTAGTCGTAAGTAAGGCTATTTATTACACCTTAGCACTTGCATTGTTTCTTCCGTAGTAACCATGCCAACATAGTATTATTTATTATTTTAAATTTATTATTTAAAATTTATTCTTTTACTTTGTTACCAGGAGGCCATTATCTTTTTGTGTAGATAGACTTTTGAGAATTGTAGCCAGAACAAAAATGTTTGTTTCAGTATTCACTATATGATGGAGAGAAAGAAATGTCATGTTCATAATAGGAAGCAAATTGCATTTTTATCAAAATACGTATTTCGGTGGTACTAAGAGTCTTGGCACAGATGATTAGGAATGCCAAAGGAAGGTAAAACAACTAAACTGGCAAAGCCCATGTTTGAGGCCAAATACATTTGCCAAAGTCTGTGATAACTAATGTTCCACATCTGTCAGATTTGCTTAAGCATTTCTTCAGAATTCACTGAGAGGAATTGTTCATGTGAAACAGAAAAAATTTGCAGTGAAGCAGTTAGCCTATGCTTTCCTTATTCATATTCTTATAGTGCTCATTCCTGGATATTTCTTATGGGGGAGAGGAACTAAGTGTTCTATGTGAATAACAAGTCTTATGTAATACTTCATCTTAGGAAATAATTTGCTATTCTTTTTACAATCTTAATATATATTTGTGCTGCTTCTCAGTAGGATGGTTGGTTTGTTGTTCATGTTCTGCTCATCAGGTTTGTGTAGCTTTTTTGGACACAATCCTTGTAAAAGAGACTATTCATTGTATTTGGTACAGCAAATTCTCTGTACAACTGTTGTACCATGGACTACATTTAGAAATCATAGTGCCTGAAGCCAGCTCAGTAATGTTTTAGGTTTATATAAGTTGTTCATCATTGTGTGTAATTTTTTTTTGATACCTCTGTAACCAATTTCAGTGCAAGTTTTATGTATAGCATTTTATCTAGTAGTGTGCAGCCTAATTTTATTATTCAAATTCATAAAATGCAATACTTGTCACATTGGTATAATGGAGCAGAGCATAGCTGCAGTGTATGATTTAAGTAGGTATCTGTAGGTGTTTATGCACATGTGCACATATTGATCATTGTTAATAAGATGCAGATATTTTAAGTATGTTCTCCGTAATGTGTTTTTAGGATTGAAGAAGCTTCACCACCAGGTTGTGGATTTTGCCATATACCGTATGATGAATTGAACATGCCATTCCCTGCTCACCTCACTTACTGTTACAACTGCAGGAAGCAAAAAGTTCCTGATGTCCTTTTTACCACAATTGATCTTCCTGTAGAGGCAATAGTTATTGGGAAGGGATGTCTTATTCAAGCCAGGTATCTATCAAAATGTTTTCTTAGTATAAGTTTTGAAGACTTTTGAAAGAACTGTTGCTAAAATCCAGTATGTCATGAAAACTAAATTTTTATGTTGAATTGCTAGGAGTTAATCACAGTGTATTAGGGTACAGGAGGAGGAGGACAGCCTTCTCTTCCCCCTGCGTTACGAGTCATGTCTCTTGATGAACATCTGGGAACTTGTCCATGTTGATGGGCATTTAGTAAACGTTCTGAATGTTCTGCCTTTTTTTTTTTTTTTTTTTTTTTTAAAAATGCCTATGGGAGTTGCTGTATTTTATCTGCCTGGATGTAAGAGTTTTTATGCTTTAACTTGCTGTTTGGGACTGCTAACATGGTCAGATACAGCTATTGCACTGGTAACTCAATGAACTGTTTATGTCAGTTGCGTTAATTCTGTGCTGATGACCATAACTGATCATCATCTCTGTAGAATTGTTGGCTATGTCCAGTTTATACTGTGGTCTTTGAATTTGAATTTGGAAAAGGGACTAAGGTGGTTTATAGTTGGAAAGAAGGAAGGGTTAGCTATGTACAGTCTGTATGGGTGGCCAACTACACAAATAAATAACTGGTTGGATGGTTGGGCTGAGAGAGTAGCGGTTTATGGTTCATAACCTACCTGGATGGCCATGACAATTACAATAGAGTCTGCAGTGGGATCTGTCCTGTTGAACATCTTAATGACGTGGAGGGGCTGATGGACTACATTCTCTTCAAGTTTGCCAGTTCCCCCACAATGAGTGGGACCAGACAATACAATACCTGTCCAGTTTTGTCCTCCTCTGAGAGCAAGACAGGCATCAGAAAACTAGAGCAAGTACAGTGGAGGGCCACTAAGGGAGTAAGGGGCAGCTCCATATGAAGAGAAGCTGCAGGTGCTGGACTTGTTTCAGTCTGGAGAGAGGAGGGATTCAAGGGGACCTAACAGCAGCCTGCTGGTACCCATAAGGACATTATGGAGCATATGTTGCCAGGGTCTTCACACTGCTGCACAGTAGGAGAGTGAGAGACAATGGGCAGAAGTTGAAGCAAGAGAGATTCACAGCGGATACAAGGAAAAACTACTTACCCATGAGGACAATCAGGCAATGGAGTAGGTTGCCTGGGAGGTTGTGCAGTGTCCATCTTTGGGGAGTTTTCAAGACCTGACTGGATAAAGCTCTGAGCATCCTGGTCTGAGCTCAGAGTTGACTGTGCTTTGTCTGTACTGGAGGTTGGACTAGAGATTTCCTGAAGTCCCTTCTCACCTGAGGGGTTTTTTTTTATGATCCTATGAGTATCATTCTCTGGAGCTACTGTAGAGATGTGTTTTGTGTTCCTCCTTTGGTATTTTCCATATTATTAAACTCTGTGTTCAGCACCATTGTGGAAGTTAACGTTTAGTGTCACACAGTGGTCCCCAGTCTATCTCTGGAGCACTTGCAGATGTCCCATTTTCTCTAGAATGATTCCTCAAACATTCCCATCCCCCCAGAAAAGTGGGGGGGG